TCAGGGTTAGGGTTAGGGTTAGGGTTTAGGGATATAAGGCCATGTCTAGTACGGAGGTATGACTGTGGAATCTTTCTGTGGAAGATTTGGACTTTGAAGTATACGTCAACAGTATCACGTGACTGTCCCTCTACGCCCGGGGGATAGCAACACCCTTCTTGTAGAGGCAGATATACGGCACTGCGCGCGTCACCGAATGTCGCGGTACTATAGAGATGAACAGCGCGATCGTGTGCGTGTAGGCCTACGGTGTGTGTGTGTGTGTGTGTGTGTGTGTGTGTGTGTGTGTGTGTGTGTGTGTGTGTGTGTGTGTGTGTGTGTGTGTGTGTGTGTGAGGAGTGTGAGAGGAAGACCGAGATTAGTATTGTTCCGAGAAAACGAATGATGAAACAAGACCCATCAAAATTTTTGTTTCATTTCTTGTAGATTTGGGAGATTTTGTGGTTGATGATATTGGCGACTTCTTCAAAGACGACGTACTTGGAGGTCTGACAGACTTTGGCGGCTTCTTCGGCAAGATCGGCGGAGGCGTCGTATCTGACGTAAGGCCCACCTCGACATAAAAATCAATACACGAAATTTCGGAACGGTCGCTAAACTATCATTATCTACGTGACGCACACTCTTCGCTCTTCCTACTTTTATTTCTACATCTACGTTTGCTGCTCGTTGACGGAGTTTGTTTATTAGGTGGAAACTGCTTTCATAGATCTCGGCACGGGTGTTTCGGGTGTAACAGACGTCATCGGTAAAGGAATAACCGACACCACGAAAACAGTCGGCAAGGCATTCGAAGATCTTGGAAAAGGGTTTATCAGTAAGTGCAGTCATTGCTAATAGAACGGACGGCCGCTCATTGATAAACATCATATAAATCATCATAAAAATCAACAGTAATGGCTAAATTAATCAAATCGTGATCAATTCACTCAATTCAATTAATCAATGATTAATTCTCATATTATTAGTTTATGACATCATATAGCAATTAAATATGAATAACAAGACATTTTGGTCGCTCGTCGAATAACATCTAGACTTGCTTCCTATTCCTCCCAGCGCGTGTGCAAGGTTTGTTGTGTGCAAGGTACAAC